CCCCCCAACCTCTCGGATCCCATCCGAACAACGCCCATTACCTTCCAGCTCACCACCAGATGCACGAGCCACTCAACAACCGGGTACCAATACCGTTGGATACTTCCCCCTATCAGGTCTAGTCCCTGTCCCCCCCGGTATTTCCTCCCACTCGGCCGCCGCCGCCGTCACGCATGGAATGCGCCCACGTTTCCGTCGCACGTTGTGGTCCGACGCCCATGGTATGAGTAAGGGGTGAGGGTGAGGGGGGCCTGGTGGCTGGCGGTGTGTCCTTTTCTCTGGAATCGGCGATCGCGTGCTGTTCTGTGCCAGTCTTTGTGGTTCCAGGGTTCACGCCGAATTTACGCATACCCCTCTATCCTCTTTTGGTCTTATTCTTATCCCGAATCGCTTTCTTGGGGTTATGCGGGTGCATTAGTCAGGGCGGGGGTTAATGGGAGGGGGTGCGGTGTTGTCAGTGCAGGTTTTTAAATGCCGGATAGGTGGTGGGCTGGACCCTGAGGTTTTGTCGTTTCCTTTTTTTCCCTCGCGAGAGGACTGCCGAGTCGAGATGTCTTGCTGATGCTGTAAGAGATAAGGTTGTGGTGATATCAGGTATCACAAAGAGGCCCGGATATCTGAGGTGAGTAAGTGAGGTCGCTGAGATGGCTGGCGTAGAGATGTGCTGTTCATAAGCCTAGCCCTGAAAGTATGCATGTACGTAAACTTGTATCTAGACAACCGGTCAAGATAGCCGCGTGCAAGCAAGTTGAACCAGTCCCCTGTTAACAAATCCATACCAGATCTCCAACTCCAAACACAAACAACACTTTTCTTCCCCCCCCCCTTCCTTGCCGGAAGGGGAAGACAAACTTCTTCAATACAAATTCCAAAGCCAACTCATACTACATACCACATCTCTCTCGCACGTGAAGAGAGAGCAACCTTCTCCCAGGCATCTTCTGTCCTCCGTGGGGCCGAGAACGCTCCACCGCCCCAGCCCAGCTCAGCTCAGCTCAGCCTCACCCACTATGCTATCCTGTGTTCCCAAACAAACCACTACACCCATGCCCGGCACTCTTAACCAAGCAACCCTTCAACCACCACCTCCCACAAACCTACCCGGGTTATTAGACCCTGTCCCCCTCCACCTCCTCTCACCAACCTCACCACAACGGGGGTTATTAGACCCCTGTTCCCCCCTTCCCAAAAACCAGAAACGAGAGAAGAAAGAAAGAAAGAAAGAAGAAAAAATGTGCACAACCGTAACCCTCAAACACACAACCTGCACCCACACCTTAACCATCCACCGCACCTGCGCCCGCCACCCCTTGTGCGACCTCACGACGCAGGTGCATCGCGAGCGTGGGGGTGAGTGCTGGGCGTGTGATCCGGGGCAGGCGCCGCCCGAGGCGTTGTTTATGGAGAGGAAGAGGGAGCGTGGGAATGGTGGGGCTGGGGGGAGGGGGGTTGTTGGGTTTA